GCCCAGGGGCAGGCAGGGGACAGTGTAGATGCCCAGGGGCAGGCAGGGGACAGCGTAGACGCCCAGGGGCCGGGAGGAGACAGCGTGGACGCCCAGGGGCCGGCAGGAGGGACGCGCGGGGTGGAGGATGAGCTCCAGGACCGAGGGGAAGGCGGCCTCCAGCCCCAGCCCGAGGGGAGCTCGGAGCCCGGCCCGGAGGAGCGCGGGGCGGCGGCGGGGGAGAACGCGGCGGCGGAGACTGGGTCCTCGGGGGCAGAGGGGTCGCAGGGCGCAGGCGAGAACGGTGACCCTGGAGGGCCCCGGGAGGAGACCGGGGAGGAGGAAGAAGGGAAGGGAGAGCCGAGCCCCAAGGGACCGAGCGAGGAAGCCGCACCCGGGGGCGAGGAGCAGCCCCCCGACGGCAGCCGCGGAGGGGAGGCGGCCGAGTGCAGTGGGGCTGAGGAGCCCGAGCCCCAGCTCAGCAACCACCTGGCGGAGGAGAGCGGCGCCCAGGGCGGCGGCGAGTCCGCACCAGTGAACGGCCGCAGGGAGGACGGCCAGGCGGCTCAGGAGGGGGACCCGGCGCAGGAGCACGACATCACCCTCTTCGTCAAGGTAAATGTCACCGCCCCCGGGCCTCAGGATACCCCTTCCCATCCTGGGCCTTCTTCCACCCAAGAGAGACTCTCGTAGAGTGACTCCCCCACCCCGCACTAACTGTCACCGGGTGTTTCTGCCTGCTAGAGTGTAGACAGGGTTTCAAGAAGTTTCAGAGCATTTAGGGGATCACTTGACAATTTGGAAGGCAGGAGTTTGGGGTGAGAGTAGTCGGAAGTGCGTCTGTGGGGCCAGCATTCCACTGTCCTTTGTCCTGAAAATCCTAACTGGCCCTACGGGTCTCCAAGTAAACAAAGAATGAATCAAGTGGAAACAACAAAAGCGGCATGCAGAGGGTTTTTGCCAAAGGAAGCTCTAATCCTTGGAGAGAAAAAGAAAATGCGAACAGGTAGGTTTAGTGTGAAAACTGTCCAGAGAGACTCAAATTCCCAAGGTTCAGAGCTAGCCAGTGTATCAGTTCTCCAAAGGCATTCTACATTTTAACTGGTGATGCGCTTTTGGGAGGAAAGTGTGCATGATCCATCACGTTTCTGTTGAACATTTTAACCATTACGTTGGAGCAATGCCGGATACTGGCGACTTGAACATCAGCTGTCTGTGTGACAATATGCTTAACTTCACATGTGTGGTTTGATCTTGTGCACGAGTCTGTAGAAATACAGTAGAGGAAGTTTCCAGTAGACTTTTTTTTTTTGACAAGGGATCAAAAACACATGGACAAATACCGCCTCTCATATCAAGAGCTTTGTTAAAGAAAAAAAAGAAAAAGGAGAAGGAAAAAAAAAAAGCAAGTCCTTTCTGAAGACCTTTGCCTAGACCCAGGGAAGTGAAAATAATAAGGTCAAGAATGTGCACTGCACATTCAAGCATAATCCTTCCAAAATCTTTGCAGGCTTATAGAAGCCAGTTATGGCCTAAATCTCCTTGGCTGAAATGTAGACAAATCCTAATAAGTTAAAAAAATGCTTCCAGAGTAATTACCTTTAGAATTTTAAGAAATGTCTGGGTGGCCAGGGACTTGGGGGAGACACAAAGTAGCTGTTCCCAGCATTTGTATGACCCTGGGACAGTGTACAGTGACCTATTGGGATATCCCCTGAGGGTACCATCCCTTTAGAGGTCCTGGGAAGAACTGGGGTACTTGCTGCTGGGTGGTTCTAGATCTGGTTGGTTGAAGGAATTTCTCATTGCTGTGGTCAAATGGCTTCATGATTTGTGCAAAGGGCTTCGTATGACAGCTGTGAGATGCAGTAACAGCTTCCTAACTCGAATCTCTGCCTTTTGCCTCTGTGCTGGGTCCTCTTCCATCAGGTCCCTGGGAAATAACTAGCAAGGCAGGAAAAAGATCTGGCCATTTTGTTTCTTAGTGAACAATTCTTCTGTTGGTTATTGCAGTTTCAGGTAAACCCACATTTTGGAGCCAGGCACAAGCTCTTTGCTTTGCTGTTCCTGCCTCCTATTTCTCCTGGGCCTTCCCTTGGCATTGCTGCGGGTCCCCACTCTGTATCACCGTGGTACTGCCATGCCAGCCCTAGCCAAATGCTTTCTGTGTCTTAAGAGAACCAGGGAACTGCATTCCTTTCTGCTTTGAGATTTTGCAAGCGCTGCACCACCCTCCTTGCTTGCCCCTGTCCCTGTGTCCCCCTGGTTATCTGCCATGTGTCCACTGTTAAGTGTGGGCTTCAGCCATCCTGGGGATCCTCTGCATGCTTTGTCTCTTACTTGACCTGTGTGAAGTTTATCGTTATATCTCCAGTGTGGACTGCACTGTGGTGAAGGACTGAGTTGTGGTCCGCCGCCTGTATGAGTACAGTGCATGGATCCAGAATATAGATGTTAGAGTCAATAGATCTAAAATCAAATCCTAACTCTGTACTTTCTTGCTGTGTGACCTTGGGCAAGTTACTTAACCTTTCTGTGCCTTTGTTGTCTCGGTGATTAAGCTGGGACAGTCATGGTGCCTACCCTTAAAGTTCCTGTGAGGATTCAAGAACAGATTATATGAAGCACCATGGTGCCTGGCTTAAGTAAGCGTAGTATAAATGCTGGTGCTTATTGCTGCTCCTGTTCAACTCACAAAAGTTTTCATTGATTCTGAACAGCCAGTTCCTTGCCCGTTTCACTGTGCCATTTTTTAAGGAAAAATCCCTCTAGGTACCTAATTACTTCCACTCTCTGGGGATGAGAATGTTAGGAAAAGTTAGAAAAGCTTGTTTTCTCAAATGCTACTTGGCAGTAGTTAGTGTAGTTTGCAGAGCCCAGAGGCATAACATGGCAGCTTGTCCATGTGTTGTACTTGCTGGTTGATTTGGTGCTCGGTTACCAGTATCTTTTTCCTTTAAGGAAATAAATAGGTTTCCAACAATAAGATTGGCTAACTTCTGAGGGTCTCTTTTTTCTTTTGTCTTTTTTTTTGAGACAGGGTCTTCCTATGCAGTTCAGGCTGGCCTTGAGCTCACTTTGTAGCCCAGGCTGGTCTTGAAACAATCCTCCTGCCTCAGCCTCCTGAGGGCTGGGATTACAGGCGTGCACCACCATCCCCAGCTGAGGGTCTCTTAAATGTGCCTCATAGTAAGGCATCTCACTTTCTTCTGAACCTACTGATCATTCTCTTTAAAAACAACAAAACAAAAGCCAAAGACCTTAATGAAACAAAGCAAAAAAAATCTTTATGCTGCTGATCTTTCAAGGTAGTTTTTTTTTTTTTTCTTGGTACCAGAGATTGCATCCAGAACCTTTGCCCTTGGCTACATCTCCAGCCCTTTTTTATTTTGAAAGAGGGTCTTGCTAAGTTGCTAAATTGCCTACTCTAGGTTTGCAGTTGGGGTCTTCCTCCATCAGCTTCCCAGAGTGCTGGGCTTACAGGCTTGCACCATTGGGTACCACTGTGCACCGGGCTCCAAGTTTGTAATATTTGATTTAAAATTCATTCTTAAATTAGGTCAGAGTAGGATTTCTTTGCTAGATTTAGCCTTGCCTAGATTTTTTCTTGGGCTCCATTTTAGGTGGATTCTGTTTTCTACCATGGATGGCTAATGTGGGTTTTGCAAATATGCTAGGGTGAGTGCTTAAGGTAGGTTTTCTGTAATGTAGCTGCAGCATTGAATTCACAATTATTGCTTAAGGTGACCATAGCAATGTGTTTCTAAACATTCCTGGGCTAGGATTTAGCATTTCTTCAATTGTGTTTTGCAGAGCTGTTATTTAACTATAGCACGTACTTACTGCTGAGTTTCATGAGCTTGCACTGATATCACACATGGGTTCTACAAAGAAATAAAACCGAGACCTGATGGAAGAAAGTAAAACTCCAGAGAGACATAGGCCTTGAATAAGCACTGCCAGCCAGAAATGTAAACAAAAAAACCCCATACAAAGCAACAACAACAAAAACAACCAATCAAAAAAACAAAAGACAAAAACATGCCAGTAACTCCTGGTGGACTAGTTGCCTATGGCTTTTAGTAGACCAATAGCTTGTAGCTTCCGGTAGACCAGTAGGCTGCACTCCTGGGCATGTTTGGCCTGGAGGGGGCATACTGAGGCCTGTTTTGTGGGTCCCAGTCTCCGAGGAGTCTGGAAGGGAGATTTTTACTTTCCTAACTCTGTGGGTGGTCCATGTTCTGAAGGGAAGTGAGCAAAGATAACACTTTTGTAACTTTAATTCTCCCACACATCTTATTTTCTGTACATTTTATTTTCTGTAGCTTGTTTTCTGATTATTTTGGAAAACTTGCTTGTAACTTACATAAATGAAATCAGCACATGGTTACTTGAAATAAGTAGACGTCATTTTGGCAGTGGTTTACATACAGACATGGGTGTGTGTGTGTTTGCACGTGGGGGGGTACCGATTTCCCACTTCCACTACATTGAGAGACATATATGTCCTAACCTCTAACCTCCGTGTGTGGGCCCTTAGTTGGTGCTTTTATGGTGATGTTAGGTAGGCGATTTGGTGGAGAGTTGATGGATTTTGGGTAACAGCTAGTGAGAAGTAGAACCTAGACATAGGCCTGTTTCCTTTCTGTCTCTGTCCAGTGTGGGAGTGTCAGGCCCGGTCTTCCTCTGTGGGGCTATGGTGTTGGGGTCTTTTGAGAGCCAGGGTGGTCCTGTCTTGCCTGTGCTCATAGGCTACCACTCCCTGCAGTGCCTCATGGGAGCATTCTGCTTCCTTGACTTCAGCATGAGTCCCTCTTCCTCACATCCAGTGTTCTTTTTGTCCTTGGCTTCACAGGGCCAGCCTTTCTCCTTGAGGTGCACTCTACTCTTCTATCTCTGTGAGCGTTAAAGACACCTTCAGCAATGCTACAGTGGGTGCTGTAAATGTGTACATTTGCTTGTTCATTTCTGATACCGGCACAAAGCCCAGGCTTTGGTCCATGCTAAGGTTTGGGTGGCACATTGCACTGCAGGTCAATCTTCTCACTCTGTCCCCATGTCATACTGCATGTGGGTCACTGTGCTGAAGTCTGAGGGCTCACTGGCTAGAGTCATAGTCCACTTCTGATGCTATAACAAAATACTTGAGGCCTGGGAATTTATAAGGAATTACCATTTTATTTTCTTCATGGTTTTAGAGTTTGGAAAATCTAAGAGTACTTGGACCTATACTTGGCATCTAATGAGGCCTTTCTTGCTGGGCATAACATGACAAGAAAGGCAGCAAGTGTGCTAGCTCCTTCTCTCTTCCCCCCTCCCTCCCTCTCTCTTTAATAAGGCCACTAATGCCATCATAGGGACCCCACCCTCATGGCCTCATCTAATCCTAATAACCTCCCAAAGGCTCCATCTTTGAATGTCGTTAGCTTGTGAATTTGAAGATCAGCTGTCCAGCATGTGAACATTTCCAGGATGCATTCAAACCATAGCAGCAAGCAAGTTCCTTGCCCTCTCCAAGCTTACCGTCTAGCACGAGGATGGATACTGAGGAATGTGAAATGATATGTATACCTAACATCTCCACTGGGCTGGAAGCTGGCATGCCAAAGACCATG